GTAGATTTCTTCCTTCAGCTTGGCGTGTGTGTACGCCTGCTTGATGTCCCAGCGGACAGGCCTCCACCCATTCTCGGTGGATACGGCCACCATAGTTTTGATGGACACCGCGGAAGGGCATGCGGATGATGAGTGCTGAAAATCCACACCGGGAATCTGAGAAAAACCTGGGTTAAAACCAGGTGTGCAATTTTCTCCGCTTGCTGACTGCAGAACACGCAGCCTACATGGAGGGAATACTACGACACGCATCCAGAATATATTGGACTACAGACCATGGTTTTTATTAATTGCTGGACCAGGCAAGACAATGCTGGCGGCCTGCTATAGTAGCCAATTGATCGTTTGTTTCGTAACGGGTGATGGGTCCATTTTATGCTTCATTACTACTTGGATGAAAGGTTCGAGGACACAATAAAGGAGCACTCGATCGTGGACCTTATTCTGTACATTTGGTCCCTTCCGAAGCGTGTCGATCTCCTCTCCTCGAGTAGGTGAAATTAGAGTTTATTTTCAAGCTCCCCCACCACCGCCTTGAAAAACAGTGCGCGGAGGAGAGAGTGGTGGCTGCGGGCTCGTATTGAGGCCATGCCGTAGAAAGTTACGGGTTTATCGAGAGGCAGCCCATAGCGGGGCGGGATGGAGGGGTTACCATGTTACCACTGCCGCCGAACTCTGCTGGACACGGCTCGTTGCGCTAGGCATAAACGGGGGAGGTACATCATGTGGCGGCTACTGTTGAGTACGTTGTCATGCTCCCGATGTGCACGCCGCAGGTTAACCGCGGTGTCATTTTCATGGAAGAGATCGGCGCCAAGTCTGGCGGCTACATGCGGTCACGAAGTGTCGCGACACAGCTCGTAGTTGCCGGGGCCGGTGCCAACCAAGTGCAGAGGTGACCTCTGCTAAACCCGACCCTATCCATGTCGCCTGTTCTGGCAGAGACCCCTACAGGAAGGACAATCCCAACCATCGTAGCTCATTGACTGATCTAAAAATTGAACATAGACGCTGACACGACGAGGAGACAACAAGTCTAATCAATTACTTTCGACATGTAAGAGAAAAACGAATCTGGGTTACAGTAAGGAGGACAGCTTACAAACAAAACGATGGTGGGAATTCTTACGATAATCGATTGCCACACATCGAAGGTCACCCTCACCTTCACCCGCCCCACAGCTTTGCCAGACGGCTTACGCAAGAACGGGTGTAGCACCACGTTTTCTAACCCCCACTCGCCCAATCGCCTGACAAAGTAATCCGACCGACCGCTATGAAAGGGTTACAAATCAACGCCCGCTTACGTGCTTCCTAGAATACAGGGAAGAAGGGGAACGAGGCCGGGCGCGAAGAACTTAACACAACAGGCACTTCATGTAAGAACAAAAAACCACAGGCGACGATTAGCGTTTTCGTTCAAGAAAACGCGCTTACATCGTTCATCCTCGTTTGGACGGCGTCTTGTCTTGGTCTTCTCCCTCTCTGTCAGGTGATGCCTACAAGTACAGCGGAGTCCCAATTCGCCGCACACATGTGCATGATACACGGCACAACGGAAATGTACAACAGAGCAGCCGAGTAATGCGCACAAAAGAGGGGGCGGTGTGCCTTCTCTTCGGTACCAGCTGCTTATGCCCCAGGAAGGTCGACGAGAGACACCCATATTCTGAGCCGAACTCCCCATATTATGCAGATAATCTCTACGCTCGCATTCTCTCTCTCTCTCTCTCTGCTGTACACCTTTGTGTTGTAGGTCATGTGCATACGAAACCATACGATACGCCGGCATAGAGCTACAAACGAACAAACCAGATCAGTCGATCAGCAGCAAAATCCCTCAAGAGGCCACAATGCATCAACCCAGAGGCAACATGCCCACTAGCACACGCGCACGAGCAAACCCCCCTGTCTTCTTGCATCGATCGACCCCTCTCCCTATAAACCACTAGAGTAAGATCGAGGAGAAGGAGATGCCTTGTACACACACATACCTCCCTTCTCCGAGCCATGAGCTGAGAGAAAACAGAAGAATCATAACTTGCGCAAAACAAAAACAAACGGTGTACTTGAAAGAGAGACAGGCAGAGAGGAAGGGGATGCTGTACGAGACACAAAATGGAAACCCACACGCGCACACGAGAGAAAGAGAACGCCGCATTTCGAGACGGGAGGGAGAGCTTGACCAAAGAAGCTCGAAAAGAAACAAAAGTGGGGCAACACAACGGCACCACACCGGAAATCCCCCACCGTTACCAAAGACGAAGGCCTAGAAAAACGAAAACGGTGCCATGACACCAAAACAACGGGGGGCGTTCGAGCGCCGGGCGCCTAACCGCAGAGTCCCCTGAGGCGGGGTTGACTTGATTTCTGTGATCAAGCCTTTTCGAAAACAAACAGCAGCGACAAAAACAACAAACAAACAACCAAGCGGTAGCACACTGCTCCACCATGTTCCTCTCGTCCCACGCGAGACCTTCCGACTCAACCCCACGCACGCACGCATGCATCCTAGTACTACAATTAGCATAATTTTTCCCTCGCGTTCCTTGTTCCCGAACGCACGGGTCCCTCAGATCAAACAAAAAGCGCGAGAAAGAGAAACGGAAAGAACAAAAATTAAATAAAAACAGCCGTCAAATGAAAAGTCTAAACACCAACATACGCACACGCACGAAACGAACGTGCGGGGTAGTGACGTGATTTCAAACTCGCTGTTGTTCCACTCTTTTAGTGCCCGCGCACCTTAACGAGAGCTTTGTCTTGTTTCTTTCCGAGGCGATCGATCCCAAACCACGAAACCGCTGGTAGATGCGTTCTCTACCCCGAAACTCGGAGAACCCCGAAACTCGGAGAACCCCGAAACTCGGAGAACCGGCCACCGGATCTCCGAAAAGGAAGGACGAAATCATCACCATCACGTCTCCTTGACCACTGCGTAGAGGACGGCGATCATGCCAAGCAGCAGGAGAATGCACATGATGTCCATGCAGAACTTGTCTGCCGAGCGGACGTTCTTGAGGACCTCCTGTGGTCGTGTGAATTTCCATTGTTCGGGCGGCGGCATCAGAGACAGCGAGCAACGGCATCGGCAAGGTCAAGAGCAGCGCCGGCAAAAAGCTGCAGGTAGTATTATAACCTTTATTGATGTATCACGTGTGCGCTGGTAACAAGCAGCCATGCCAATAAGCAATTATCCAAAGACGGCGAGGCGCAGATCGAGGCGAAAACGTCGGGGCGAATTAGCACAAGCGGATGCAGAAGGGGGCAGTGGCGGTTGGAATTGAGAGCGGCATAATAAAAAATGCAAAGGCTAAAATACTGTCGAATTCAACGACTGCTGTGGCCATAATGGACAAATAAGTACAAAATAAGAGTCCAATACATGTAAACAAGGCGTTTTTGATGTTTCGTCCCGTGCGTCTATTCTGGGCTCCAATTCACCCAGTTCGGGATGTGTTTTGATTGACGCACCAGAAGGGGTCAGACTCGAGCAAGGAAAATCGCTAGACTCTATCTGCTGGTACGCTTTAAAGGGGGTCTTCATTATCGCATTTCAGGTGGTTTGGGTGCTGGCCAGCGTCCCGATCGTCCTCCCCGCCACCCTTGGCTATCGTCCCGTCCACAGATGCAGATATTTGCCCCACGGTAGCAGGACCATGCTATTCTTCAAACAAGCTCTTCTGAGGGACCTCCGCATCGAAAGCTGATAAAAGAGAAACACTAGGTCAAGGTCTACCCGTAAGACATACCACATGCCAATACTCACGCGACGGTAACAACCGCACAGTGGCGACAAATAGGCGACCCACCGACGTGTCCGGCACGCGTGCTACTACCACTACCATGGGCTGCAATAGCGTTGGCAGATAGACAGAAAACACAAAAATAAAAAGAAAGTGTCCTATTACCGCAATGTACACCTTAGGAGCAAGGTAGGCAGGCAAGTCCACCACGTGCACCTACCTGCTAACCCAAAGCCTTACCTTCATCCGCTTATTGACGTTCGCAACGTGCTCTTGGGCCGTGTCGATCCGGTTGCCCAGGTCGTCCACCATCCGGTCCTGGATCTGCAGCTCCTCCTGTATGTTCTTGGCCATCTCCCCAAGTCTGTCCACGTGCTCCTCCACCACCGTGAGGTACTTGTCCTCCATCTCCTTCTTGCGGTCGCGGATCTGCACGCACCCCCCCCCCTCCCC